ACACACACACGCACACTTCTGCAGGAATCTCGATATCAAAGGGGAGATCAGTAGAGAAAACGAGGAGATAGCTTGAGGAGGGCCTCATTATCCTCCTTCTTTATCACTCGGACAAACTAAACAAAACAACATCAAAAAGCCAAACAACAAAAACAAAACAAAAGACACACAAAAAACAAATAAAATAAGAATTAAAAATATGAATTTAAAAAACAGAAAAGAAAAGAAAAAACAACAACAAAAAGCCAAACAACAAAAACAGTAACAAAACAAAAAATTAAAAAATTAACATTTAAAAATATGTGAGGCAGCGTTTTGGAATCAGGCTCTCGTCAAAATAATCAAAGTGAAAAAACTTCCATTTTTCGACAGGTTTGTGAATTTTTATCAACTTTTCCTTTTTTGGCTGAACACATTTCATTTCCCTTAAAGAACTCATTTCTGTGTGGATTTTTCTGAAAAACGTTAAATAAATTCACAAAAAATGTAAATTTTCTGTTACCACGTACCCTTAATCTAAGGAAATAACTAATCTTTAGTGGACATTTTCTCACTAATTTTACCTCTGAAAATAGATGACCCCCACTTCCTTTATTTGCAAATATCTCGACTTGTATTTTCTCATTAAAATAAAGACAATTTAACAAGCTTTAAGACGGTACCAATAACTCCACCTGCCTCAAAATTGACGAGAGCCTGATTCCACCACGCTGCCTCACATATGTCATGAACAATACAGAAAACGAAACAACACAAAACAAAAAATGGGCAACAACTCAGTGGACATGGATGATTCCAGGTTCGGATATCTCAACTCGGTGTGAACGGTGAGTTGAAGAGAGGAGAATTGGGTTGTGTTATAGTGAGTGTTTTACGACACTTGCAACACAATAAGGTTATATTAGTGCAGAAGATTAGAGGTGTTACAAGAGAGTAACAGACGCAAAAAAGAAAGAGGGGAGACAAAGACGATAGATGTGTGTTTGATAGGAAAGAAGAGGCAAACCACACCAGAGCACCCGCCAACCACCGACAGGAGAATGGGTTATTGAAGAGTTTCCAAGACAGGATGGAGGGTGCTCCATACACGTGCATGAGGTGGTGAGTGTTGTGGAGAGAGAGAGAGAGAGAGAGAGAGA